CGCTGCGACAAACGCGCCCCCCCCCCCCAACGCACGTGTGAATGCACCTCTTAGTTAAATTCAGCCTTTGCTGGGAAATGGACCCAAATGGTCGTCTAAGGCGCTGTGCTTAGCAGTCAGTCTAGTGAGGAAGAGGGGCTGCCTCCCCTTCAAACCAAGGGTGTTGGTAGATTCCAGCTTTGAACGTTCCTTTGCCTTAAAAGAAGAGAACCGGCGAAGCAGAGAGAGAGAGAGCCGGCGCTTCTGTGCTTGCAGGGCTGCTTTTAAGGGAGCGGTCCAGAAAGTGACTTTCTTCGGACAGTCTTTCTGCCCCCCTCTTGCTCCAGCGCGGGTGAATCAGGCCTGCCATTAGGAAAGAAGGAGACCGCAAGCCTGAGCCCTGGCTTGACTCTTTTCTCTCCCCTTGGCGTTGTGGTGCTTGGGACAGAAGAAGCCGGCTGCCTTCCGCAGGGCAGGGGAAAAGATAATCATAAACTAAACTTGGCAGCTGGTTGTGCTTTCATCGTACCCCAACATTTGCACCCTGGGGCAAGCTGCTTCTCCCTCCCTTCTGTTAGGGTGAGCCCTGCCTCTCCATGAAATTCCCTCGCAGAGGAGTTGCTAGGTTTGCGAGACAAGATTTTGCAAACTTCTCTGATCCCCAGCTTTGCATTTTCTCCTTTTGGTGGATGGGTGGGGCAGAAGCTTCTACCCTCTATGGGCTCCCTTTGGAAGACTGAAATGTGGGCTGAATCTGCCATTGACTATTTCCAACCCACTGTGAGGCCCTTGTTGATTAAGTGTTTCTTAGAGTATTTGTGCATATTCACCTGGATTTACTTATTTATTTGACACCAAGTCCCAGTTGACATATGGCGACCCCATGGAGTTTTTTCAAGGTGGTTTGCCATGGCCTGCCTCCACGCCTCAACCCTGGTATTCCTTGATGGTCTCCTTTCTAAACACTGACCAGGGACAATCCTGCTTAGCTTCCAAGATCTGACAAGATCGGGCTAGTCTGGGCCATTGGGTCAGGGCTGGGCTTATACCTGCGCATTAATGTTTTATATGTTGTGAAATGGCATCATACTTCCCCCTAGTGTGTGTTTATTGTGTGGGAGCTACAAAGCTGGGAAGTCGCTTCTCTCTGAAGGCAAGCCAGTGAGAGAGACCTTGAAGGACATTTGTGGCAAATAGATGTGAAGTCAACATAGCCGTTCGAGCTCCCCATTAATTTTTGGTATTCATTAATCCATACCTGCAACCAGTATGCAACTTCTTACTCTGTTTGGTTTCCAAACCAAAGATACTGAAATGTGCTCTGAATGGATGTAGCTCTAAATTTCAATGAAATGGGCTCTAGATAGTATTCTTAATTTGTTTGTTTTTGCTGTTCCAGAGACGTTTCTCTCTGGACTCTTAAAAGAACCCTGTTAATATTTTCTTAGGCATCATACACACACACACACACATTTTTAAAAAAGTCACCTTTCATCTGAATAACAAGTTTCCAGAGTCTGCAGATGTGTTAAATTGACAGCACTTCCTTTGATTTGCTTTTTCAAGGGCTATTTTAGCTTTTTAGAGGGGCAGCTGGGTGACTTGTGACCGGAAAAGAAGTCTGCCCCTGTTTTTTTGTCAGGCCTCTTTCCACAGCTTCCGGAAAGAGCTGGGGGTGGGGAGTCATTCTGTGTGCAGCATCTGCTCCTGCCAGCTGTGCAGAGGAGGAGGAGGAGGGACTTCCTCTTGTCTGTCTGGTAGAGGTCAGGCCTCTGATGGTGTATCACAAGGAAGTCTGTCTTTGTGTCAGGGGCAGTGTTCCCTCTAAGCTGAGTTAATGTGAGCCAGCTCACAGTTTTTTGGCCTCTGGCTCACACATTTTTGCCTCAGCTCAGGAAGGAGGGCTCCAGAGCAAACTGATTTATGCAGCAGGCAAATTGCTCGCTCACGACTTTAATGCCAGTAGCTCACAAAGTTGAATTTTTGCTCACAAGACTCCACAGCTTAGAGGGAACATTGGTCAGGGGTCTGCAACAATGAATTTTAACTTCCTCCCATTAAGATCCCCTTCCTACACACGGGACCCTTGACAGGCTTCTGGGGAGCCCTCCAGCTTAGAAAGAAGGATATCCTTTGGCACAGATTCTGTGGTGAGTGATGGGTGATCACTGTATTGGATGAAGAGCAGCTGAATGGTCAAATCACTACAAACAGAATCCTGGGCAATCTGGAACTTCGGGCCTCCTTTGGTAATGTAAAATGGAGGAGAGGAGAATGACATGATGCATTTTGGTTCCCCATTGGGGAGTAAGGTGGGGAGAGGAGCTGTGGCTCAGAGGTAGAGCATCTGCTTGGCATGGAGAAGGGCCCAGCTGCAATCTCCCGCTAAAAGGATCAGGTGGGAAGACCTCTGCCCGAGACCCTGGAGAGCTGCTGCCAGTCTGTGCAGACAATACTGACTTTGATGGATCAAAGGTCTGGTTCAGTATAAGGCAGCTTCATGTCTATAAATGTAGTAAAATAAAATAAATAACTTACATTCTGGCTTTGTCCTTTGAGAGGGCAGGCAGAAGAGACTTGACAGGGAGAGAGCATCTTTGAAGTAACGGGGCCATAAACTCAAACCTTCCTTGCCCACCACAGGCCCTGCTAATCTGCTCTGAAATGTGGCCCCAGATAGAGTTGATACTCCATGATAAGAACATAAGAGTCTTGCTGGATCAGACCAGTGGTCCATCTAGTCCAGCATCCTGTCTCACACAGGGGCCAACCAGTTCTTCTGGAGGTCCAACAACAGGGCATGGAGGCCTCATGTCACCTCCTGGCACTGGGATTCAGGAGGTTGACTGCCTATGAATGTGGATTCTGATTGTTGCCTTTTCCTTTGCTTAAGGACTTGCTGCTGGGTTTTTGCAGAGATCCTGGCCAGTTGCTGCTGACTAGCCACTCTCTTTGGGCTAGCAGCTAATCTGATCTGACTCTCAATTTGGTGAAGCTGGAAAGACCGCTTCTGGAATGAGCATATATGTGTTTTAAAAGGCCGCCCTCAACTATATAGCAGCAAGCTGTGGCACTAGGCCTGGATATTCTATCCTTTTGCTGCTGTGTCACTAAAGATAAACAAAACAAAAAATTGCATGAGGAATAACCTATTTTGAGGGTACCCTTTTGGGAACAAATCACCCTGTTGCCCTTTGAAGGAAGGGAAACATTGCCAAATTCTTGGACATCACATTATGGCTCTCAAAGGCTGTAAGACAAGCAAGTCAACACTGATGACCTTCAGAACCAGCAAGAGTTGGCAGGAAGCTTTTGTGCTGTAATGAAGTGTGTGTGTGTGTGTGTGAGAGAGAGAGAGAGAGTGTGTGTGAGAGAGAGTGAAGGGGACCACCACGTGATGTGCCTTTAGGCAATGGTGCCTCTCTTTTGGAAATGTGGAGTGCTCTTTTGCAGTCATAGGGGGTTGAATGTGAGAGCCTGAGTTCCAGGGGGCTTAACAGTTTGGTTGTCACTTATAGGCAATAGCTATCTCCTTTGGGTTCTGCTGGTGCATGGGACATTTCTTTGTTTGTTTGAACACATGAAGCTGCCTTATATTAAATTGGTCTATCCAAGTCAGTATTGTCAAGTTAGACTGGCAGCAGCTTGCCAGGGTATCAGGAACAAGTCTTTGATTAATCAACATCAGGATTTTCTACTCAGACTAGCAGTAGCTTGCCAACGTCACAGGCAAAGGTCTTCCACATTACCTGTGGCTTGATCTTTTTCACTGGAGATGCCAGGGATTGAACCTGGGATGTTCTGCATGTCAAATCAGAAGCTTTTCCACTGAGCCACAGCCCTTCTCCGTTTGCATAATTTCTGGGCTACTTTCTTGTGGACAGCATGCTCAAAATGGCTAAGAAATAAATCTGCTACTGTGCAGTCATAATTAATAATAATTACATGCTGTAAAGTTGCAACCTATTTATAGCGAACTCATAAAGTTCCACCTCATGGGGTGTTCAAGGCAAGAGAAGAACAGATGTGGTTTGCCATTGCCTTCCTCTGCATAGCAAGCCTTGTTGGTCTCCCATCCAGGGGTCATTTCCTGCAGGAGCACACAGGAGCGGAACTCCGGCAGTAAAGAGTCCAGGGGGTGGGCACATGCAGCAAACCCCACCCCCTGCTCCCAGTAGCCCTCAGTCAGAGCAAGAAGCAGCCAGGTAAGTTGCAGAGCTCCCACTGCCACCCCGGTTTAAAACAATCCAGTGGCACCTTTAAGACCAAGTTTTATTCAGGTACAAGCTCTCCCTCCTCTGCGAGGACAGATCTGCACGTCCCCCTGCCCAATAGCTAGCAATCCAAAACAGTCCAGTGGAGCCTGAGCGGTGGGTGTTGCCTTCTGACACACTTCCGGTGATGGCAGGGGTTTGGTATATGCTAATGAGTTATGCTAATGAGCTCCTGCACCTCTTTTTCTACGAAATGACCCCTGCTCCCATCCAAGTACAGACCATGGCCAACCCTGGTTAGCATCTGAGCTTGGACTAGTTTATTTAGTCTGCTACAACACAATTATAAAAAATACTATAAACAAGAGAAATCACTGTAAAGCTGACTACAGCAAGTAA